GGTTAAGTGCGCGCGCTCCACTACTGGCAACCCGGGTTCGAATCCTGGACGCGCACCGACGCACTGCTTGTCCGGCCATGCTGAGGCCGCGTCCCACATACAGCAACTAGAAGGATGTGCAGCTGTGACATACAACTATCTACTGGGGCTTTAGAGGAAAAAATAAATAAATAAAATTATTAAAAAAAAAAGTTCAATTAAAGGATTAAATAGGAGGTTAGATATATTGAAGAAATAATTTCAACTTTTTTTCAGGTAACAAACACTAACAGAAAAGAAAAGGAATTATAAAAGTCCAACTAGAAGAGAGAAAGAGAAAGAAAAACTAAATCCAAAGAAAAGCAAAGGAGAAAAAAAAAAGAAAAAAAGGAAGAAATAGAAAGTACAAAATAAAACAATTTCAACTACATTATCATAAAGACTTTTGATTTATGATCAGGGATGTAGAGAGTCAGAAAGAGCATTGCTCCCAAACTTTCAATTAAAAAAACAGCCAAACTGTTGAACTCAGAGAGGTGAGATCACAGGGCAATCAACTAGCCCAACATCTAAGGAGAGACAGGGCAGATGCAGCCAGAAGCTGTTAAGAATAATTCAGCTAAAATAAACATCAAATTGGTAGAGGCCAAGCGTGGAGCCCACGGCAGGAGCAGAGTTAAAAAACTCTTGCATACTTTTTCTTCATTGACCCCAACAGGAACACTCAAAGAAGACTGATGAGAGTCCTGAGAAAGAGATCTCCATGGTACAGGATGAGGGAGGGGAAGAGCAGCCAATGTAGGAGGGTCACTAAACCTTGCTTGTCTCCTCTAGGGAATAAAAGGTTTACTTTGCTTGGAGCAGGGCAATAACCACTGTTGCCCTTGGGGCACTGGAGGAAACCACTGCATCTGAGGAAGGGCCAGGACTATATTTCGGACCTAGGACTATAGCTGGAGGTAGGGCAGGAGCACTAAGAAGGCCAAACACTCCAGATCCAGGGACACAGTGCAGCCTAGGACTGAGACTTCATCAAAACAATAGGGCAGGTGTTCTCTGCACCTCCAACTTCCTGTAACAAGTAACAGTGGAATCCTGCTGGAGACTGACCCTCTCTGAAATGCTGTGCAAAGGGAAGACTTAGAGACACTGAGAAAACCCTTTGGCAAACCAGCCCCCAATCTAAAAATAAGATATTGCTGGAGGAATTTGAAGATTGTGGTGCACTGAGGGTAACCACAGAAACAACAAACCTCAAACCCAGCCCAACTCCTGACTATATTAACTCAAATCCCCCACATTAAAGGCCTAGCAGAAGGTAAGGTATGCCCATTTCCAGGCATAAAAACTATTCACCTTAGTCTATTGTCCTATACAAGATATTCAGTTTTCAACAACAAATTACAAAGCATAGGAAAAGGTAAGAAAAAAAGAACACTACTAAGAGACAAATCAACAGAGACAATCAACAGAACCAGCTTTATATATGACATAGATATTGAAATTATCTGACAGGAAATTTAAAACAACTGTCATTAATATGCTAAAGGCTCTAAGGGAAAGGTGAAAAACATGCAAGATCAGATAGGTAATATCAGCAGAGAAATGAAAACTATAAGAATCAAACAGAAATGCTAGAAATGAAAAACACAGTAATAGATGTAAAGAATGCCTTCAGTGGCTCATCAGACAACTTACAAAGTGAAGGAAAGAATCAGTGTACATAATAATAAGTCAATAGAAACATTTCAGTCAATAGAAATTAAAGCACATAGAAAAAAATAATGGGGGGAGGAGTAGAACAGAGCATCCAAGAGGTGCCAGACAACATCAAACATCTAACATATGTGTAACTGGAACCCCAGGAGGAGAAGAAAGCATAGGACAGAAGAAATATTTGAAGAAATAATGACCAAGAATTTTTTAAATTTCATGGCAGACAGAAATCCACAAGTCCAAGAAGCTCAGAAAAAAACAAAGCAAAAAACACATCAAATCATATCATATCCAAACTGCTAAAAACAAAAGACAGAGAAAATCTTGAAGGCAGCCAGAGTGGGGAGAAAACATTACGTGCATATGAACAAAAATAAGAATTACAACTGAATTCCGGCTTGCATGGTTCTGACAAGAAGAGTTACCTAAAGTGTTGAAAGAAAAAAAAATAACAACCCAGAATTCAAAATCCAGCAAATATATATTTTTAAGTTAGAGAAACAAATACTTTCTCAAACAAACGAAAACTAAGAAACAAATACTTTCTCAAACAAACGAAAACTAAGAGAATCCACTGCCAGTAGATCAGCAGTACAAGAAATGTTAAAGGAAATTCTTAAGCAGAAGGAAAATGACAACAGACAGAAACATGGATCTATACAAAAAAATAAAGAGTGCTGAAACAGATTATTTGAAGGGAAAATAAATTTCATTAAAAATTTTCTCTGAAAGATAACTGATTAAAGCAAAATTAGTAGCACATACGATATCTTTGTACTATCTGTAAAAGTAAACTATCTAACAACAATAGCACAAAGGATGGGAGAAGGAATTGGGAATATACTGTTGTAAGGACGTAATACTACACATGAAGGGTAAAATATTATTTGAAGGTAAGCTCTGATTAAAGACTTATACTGTAAAACCTAGAGCAACTATTAAAATGTTTTTTTAAAGGAGTATAAATAAATAAGCCAATTGTGGAGATAAAATGGAACCATAATAAATGCTCAATAAACCCAAGAAAAAGTAGTAAAAGATAAAGAAATAAAGAACAGATGGAACAAACAGAAAATAGCTAGCAAGGTGATAGATACTAATCCATATAGAATCACAAAACATGAGCTAAACACGACAGCTAAAAGACACTGTGAGATTGCATTTTTTATAGCTTTATTGAGACATATTCACACATCATAAAATTCACCTACTTAAATTGTACACACAGTTCAGTGGTTTTTAGTATATTCACAGAGTTGTATAACCAATTGTTAGATTGGATTTTAACAAATATCCATCTATAAGCTGTTTATCAGAGATATAAACAGATAGGTTGAAATTAAAAGGATGGAAAAACATATATAAGCCAAATACTAAACAATAAACAGCTCAGATAACTATATTAAAACAAATGACTAAATACAAAAGCATCCTTAAGGATAAAGACAGTCAATATATAAGAATAAGATTTATTTCCCCACAAAAATATAACAATTGTAAATTTGTATGTCCCTCTAAAAGGGGCTCAGAATATTTTAATTGCCCTCCCTACAAAAATCATCACAATTACAAGGAGAATGAAAAATCCACAATCACAATAGAAGATATAATACAAATTAGTATTCGAAAGATCAGGCAACACAAAAAAACTAGAAAGGATATAGAAGATACAAACAGTACAATTAAGAAGTTTGATCTAATGTAAGACTCAAAAGACCATATTCAGTGACCACATGCAATTAACTTAAAATAATGACATGAACTATTAACAAAGCGAACCAGAAACCTATACATTCAGAAACATAAAAGATGCTTGTAAACAACTCTTGAGTCAAAGAAGCAATAATAAGGAAAGCCAAAAAGTATGGAACCGAAGAATAAAAAATATACTTATATTAGAAAAGAAGAGGGCCGGCCCAGTGGCCCAGCAGTTAAGTTCATGTGTTCCGCTTTGGCGGCCCGGGGTTCGCCGGTTCAGATCTGGGGCGCGGACCTACTCAGTGCTCAACAAGCCATGCTGAGGCACCATCCCACATAGAAGAGCTACAACTCTACAGCTATGACACACAACTATGTACTGGGGCTTTGGGGAGAAAAAAAGAAAAGGAGGAAGATAGGCAACAGATGTTAGCACACGGCCAATTTTCCTCAAAAAATAGAAGACACATAATATCTAGGAGTACAAGGAAAGGGGAAAAAAAGATGAAACCCAAGCAACATATAATAAAAGGATATAATAAAGAACAGAACTGAACTATATAGAAAACGATGGTACAACACGAAGGATCAACAAAAATTAAAAACCCAGTCTTTAAAAAGATTAATAAAAATGGCAAACTTCTACAAGGCCTTTCAAGAAAATAATGAAGGCACAAATAAACACTATTAGGAATGAAAAAAGTGACATAAATATAGATTCAGTGAAAATACTTTTGAAAAAGATACTTTGAGCAACTTGAAGTGATAAATTTGAAAATTTAGATGAAATGGACAGTCTCCTAGGGAAATACATCTTACCAAACTAGACTCAAAAAGAAATGGAAAACCCGAAAAGATCTATAAACCTTGAACAACTAGGATCGATAGTTACTATTCCCACAAAAAGAAAAGAGAAGACTATTTAAAGGAATAGATTCCAGCAAATATTCAAGTAATGGGTAATTCCAATCTTACATAAAATTTCTGAGAAAAGAAAAAATAAAATACAATCCAACTCATTCACCGAGTTTACTATAACCTTGGTACCAAAACCAGATAAGAGTCTCCTCCAAAAGGAAAATTATAGTACAATCTAACTTAAGTACAAAAAATGTAAAATATTAAAAACCTTAATCCAGCAGTGGGAATGTGTTGTACATGTCTCTATGTATGTGTTCTGTATCACAAACTTGTTTGTTTTTTTAGTATTTTGATAACTGTACCTTAATACAACTGGTGTGCTTTGCAATCCTATGTGTTTTATTTTATGCATTAAAAAACATTATTTTGAGAAGGGGTCCATAGGCTTCAGACTGCCAAACGGGTTGATGACACACACAAAAATGATAAGAACCCCTGTACTGAAGAAACTTAGAGATATACACAAGGAAACATGTGCAAGAATGTTCAGAGCAGCAGTGTTTGTAACACCAAAAATCAGTAGATAGAAAGAGGAGAGTGGCTCAGTAAACTAAGGTAAAATCACTAGGTGGACTTTTCTAAAAGTCATTAAAAGGAAGGAGCTGGAGCTATATGGATCAACAAGGACAAATCTCTTAATCTGGATGCTGGATACATGGGTGTTTGACATAATACCCTTTAAATGACTAATATAGCATTACCATTACACTACACTGTTTTTAATTACTTTTTTCATTCTGCAATGAGAAAAATTCACAGATCATCACCAGTTTAAGCACTGGCATTTAGGAACCAGTGCCTCACACCATTCCTCTTCCAGCAAAATCCACCCCAAATCATACTCATTAGTCAGGAACAGTTCAAAATACAAATTCCTTAGGAAGCCTTTCCCCAAACCATCTCACTGGAATTAATTTTCCCCTCCTATTCTCCATAGCCATTTCTATTTAACTTTTAATTATCAGATATCTGAATTATATAGTTTTTCCGTTTTACTGAGATATAGTCTATGACATACAGCATTGTATAAGTCTAAGATGTACCGCATAATAACTTACATATATTGTGAGATGATTATCCCAATAAATTTAGTTAACATCCATCATCTCACATAGTGAATTAAATATAGTTTGTGTATGCCTGATTTCTCAAGTGTAAGTTCTTTGATGGCTAGACAGTACTTTGTATTGACAAGTTGTCAAAACCATTTTTTGTTGAATTTGATTCACTCACCCACACCCACTCTGCAATAAATCCTAAACACTGGCTTAAAAGCTGTTTCCATCTTTAATATCTACAAAGATAAAATTTGATTATAAAAATAAAACATCCCATTATAAAAGCTAGATTTCTACTTTTCATAATCTTACTGTTATTTTTAATTACAATGAGAGATATAAGAAAATAACTTTGAACAATGTAAAACAAGATATACTTATTCTAAAAGATTTACATAATCATGTTATGTTCAAGTTGGGACGATCATTTTGCACACAGGTATACACGTGTTAACTATGCCCCCTGCTGACTGAATACATATTTTGAAAGCCAAACAACATTACAGAGAACACAGAATATGGTCCATACAAATGTACCACATAAAAACCAAATGTACCTTATAACGCAAATGGGTTTCATAAAAAAGACTTGGCAGATCTTACGTCAAGTATAGCTAAGATAGGATTTATTAGAGAAAGGGGGAACTTGAGAAGAAAGAAGTGTAATTTTGAAATTGACTGCTCAGAGTCACCACATTACACAACTTTAGAAAGCATCATTCACATTATATTCTACATAGTGGTTCTGAACTGGGGGCAATTTTGCCCCCCAGAATTTTTGTCATAACAACCTGGGCAGGGGGTGGCGTGGTGGGCATGGTGCTACTGGTATCTAATGGGTAGAGGCCAGGGATGCTGCCAAACATCCTACAATGCACAGGCCAGTCCCCTCAATAAAGAATTATCTGGTCCCAAATGTTAATAGTATCGAAATTGAGAAATTTTTGCTCCACATGACTATTCCTTCTCAAGTTGTGCAACAAGGCAACAAAGTCAAATAGAGGTTTATGACACTTAAACTTTGTTGAATGAGTCAAAGAAGATATTAAATCCCTGATATCAAATAATACAATTTTTAGCCCTTTTCATTTGGGCTAGAAAACTGCAGTCTAGACAGTTTCATAAGTCCACCTTTTAGCTCAATTCTAGGGATGATACAATCTGTGCAAACACCTTTGATCTCCTAACAATATTTTTGAAAGCTATTAGGCTTTCCCATCATACCTGCGTCTCCATTTCCATCATCCTTTGTTTTATTTCTCTTATTTCTGCCTGTGTTTCAGCTTCTCTAAGTCGAATGCTCATCAGTTCATCTTGTAACTCATTCACAGCATTTTTCTTAGGTGGGTCTTTCCATCTCCCAGTAGTACGAGCTAAGTGGCGCTAAAACACAAAAAATGATATTGCAACAAATATTCCCAGTATCAAAATAAGAGCTAACTTTACTGAGCACTTATTTTAGGCCCAGTACTATATTAAGAACTTTATATGCATTATTTTATTTAATCCCCAGAAAATCTTAAAAGTTAGGCACTACTATCTTCATTATACAGGTAAGAAAATTGTGATCAAGTAACTTCAGAAAGGTCATACAGCCAGTAAATGGTAGATCTGGGATATATACTCAGACATAGTTCAAAATTTTTTTATACTGTGGATTAATTATCATAAAAGAATATAACTTTCACCCTAATTTGTTTTTTTCCTGAGGAAGATTCGCCTGAGCTAACATCCACTGCCAATCTTCCTCTTTTTGTATGTGAGCCGCCACAGCATAGCCACTGACAGACGAGTGGTGTAGGTCCATGCCCAGGAACCGAAACCAGGCTGCCAAAGCAGAATGCGCCAAACTTAACCATTAGGCCACTGAGGCTGGCCCCCTAACTTTTTTAATAAGAGAGATTTTTCACATTATTTTTAATGAAATCCCAAGAAAAGGAAAAAATGGGGCCATTCATGAATTAAAGAAGGAATATTAGAAGTTAAGAGCCGTGTTCTCAAGATATCTGTGTGAAGGATCAGTTTTGTTTGTTTTTAACTTCTAGTTTATTGCTGCCTGACACTTTTGCAAAATACATTAAAAAAAAAAACCCATGGTAATATCAAGGACTAATTTCAGTCTTTGCTAGGCGCATCCTCCCATCCCAAATCCAGACCAAGATCACTATTCTGAAACTATGTGTAGTTTTCTTTTCCTTCCTTCTCTCCCTTCTGTCTTAAGATTGTCTTTTTTTGTTCTTTATCAACAGTTTCCCTCATATGTGAATAAATTTGTGGGCATATAATTAGCTAACTGTCTGATTTACTTGGTGAGATAACCAATTTTCAAAAGAAGTTACAAATTTATAGACAAATTTATATTGGTGTCACCCCTCTGATGTTTCATACTGACCAACGGATTTAATATCAACAGAAGTATGCACTATATAAAGGAATATTTTCTTGCAGTTCTTTAGAAAGTTATATAAATCACAATGGTACAACAGTAACAACAAAAATGACTCGATCTCTATTTTATCTTTTATTTAATTATAAGAATTAAAAAGGGAGAAACAGGGGCCGGCCCAGTGGCATAGTGGTTAAGTTTGTGCGTTCCACTCTGGCGGCCTGAGGTTCGCAGGTTCAGATCCCAGGTACAGATCTATGCACTGCTCATCAAGCCGTGCTGTGGCAGGTGTCCCATGTATGGTGTAGAGGAAGATGGGCATAGATGTTAGCCCAGGGCCAGTCTTCCTCAGTGAAAAAAAGGAAGATTGGCAACAGATGTTAGCTCAGGGCTAATCTTCCTCATCAAAAAAAGAGGGAGAAACAGCTCAAAAGTTCTTTCAATTTATAAACTCTCTCAGTTTTGTACAAGATCTTTCTCACTTTAAACTCAAATCCTAGTGTTGGTCATCAGCTACTTCAAACTTGCACAAACTGGATATTCAGGTTTTACCCTCTTTTTAAAAAGCACACAAAATACATTGATATACCTGCCAGTGTTCCTCTAAATCCTTGACTTGTTGTCTAAGTTCTTTCAAACCCATAATAGCTTCTGCTTCTCTCAGTTTCACAGCAATGAGTTCTTCCTGAAGCCTTGCGATGTTATTCTCATCAGGAAAGGAGTTGTTTCTCTAAAGCAAGAAAACTTAACTTGGTATTTTTAATTTAAATAATAAAATAAAATATACATAATAAGAACTTTTTTGTCCCATATGTAATCATATCTAATTTTATACAGTTTTATTGAAACATAATTCCACAAAATTTACTCTTTTAATGTACACTGGTCAGTGGTTTTTAAGAGTATTCAGAGGGTTATGCAACCATCATCACAACGCAATTTGATAACATTTTAATCATTCCCAAAAGAAACCCTACAACCATTAGCAGTCACTCTACATTTCCCCTCCTCCCAGCCCCAGGCAACCACTAATCTACCTTTGTCTCTATGGATTTTCCTACTCTGCACATTTCATATAAGTGGAATCATACATAAATCGAATATGTGGTCTTTTATGACTTAGCTTCTTTCATTTAGCATAATGTTTTCTAGGTTTATCCCTTTTTATTGCCAAATAATATTCCATTGTATGGATATACCATATTTTATTTATCCCATCAGTTGATGAAAATTTGGGTTGTTTCCACTTTTTGGCTCTTATGAATAATGCCGCTATGAACATTTGTGTAAAAGTTTTTGCATGGATATATGTTTTTAATTCTTTTGAGTGATATACCAAGGAGCAGAAGTGATGGATCAGATGGTAATTCTACATTTAACTTTTAAGAAACTGTCAAACTTTTCCAAAGCAGCTATACTGTTTTACATTCCCACCAGGAACGTATTAGGGTAACTGTATTTAATTTTGTACTTAATTTTGAGGACACAGAAAGTCTAACTCTGGCTTGATTAATAAAATTCTAACCAGAGTTAATGGAGCAATAAGATTAAAAATGTTTTTCAACATGGCAATAAACTTACTAACCTCTGATTAGAACTCCAAACAAAGCATGAACATCATTTACATTTTAAAGATTTATGGAAAAGAATAGGCTAAAATCTGTTTTGTTGTATTTTCTTGGCATGTCACTTTGGAAAGGAGTGTAAAATCTCTGTACACTAGTCACTATATCAATAGTCAAGAAATTAATATCAAGGTGATCTAAATATTTGCTTCAAGGGTACAAGATTTAGATTAATCTCCTACCATACTGAAAGAACCACCTGAGGACACAGGGTAGCCCCATATTAAACTGCTCTTGGAGTGAGCAGGAGACCCTAAATTAGGCCTTAGTAAAAGCTCCTTAGGTAAACTGAGGTACTACTGAGATTTCAAGTTCTGAATCTATGAAATTTTCTATCTCTAAAATATTTCACGGTGGACATGAAGATTTTAGCCCACAGAGATGATGAAATAAAGTTATTCTCGCCAACTACACATTTTTATGGTAGACTTTAAATATTTTCTCAATTGAAAACCAGAAATTTACTACATATGCAGTTAAAAAAAAAAAAAAGAGATTCCTGAATGAAGAAATTAACCATAGGAAGCATGAAACCTTCCAATTTCCTTTCTACTCTGTAACATGAATACCAACAAACCCACTTAAGAAATCCATTTTTACATTGGACCCAAGGACATTTCTTTCTATCAAATATTCAAAACTGAAAGATCCACATTCTTACCTAAATCATGGAGCCCAGAATACTCCTAAATTAGAGACCAAATATTCTATTAGGCATTTTTTTACAGCATTCTTGCTGGCTTTTTCCTCAACAAATAGGAGAATACATTTTCCAAAAATAATAGAAAAATAGCAAGCAGATTCCTAGCAAAATTATTCCACTACTGAGTGTAGTTACACCCTGCTCTATTTCATCAAGAAATAGTTAAGAACAACTTAAAGCTATCTGTCATGTCCATTATTTATGAGGCTTTGATTCAATAGCTAGATACTATCTAGGCGTGAATCACAGACCCCGAGTCATCATGATTTTATAGATGAGAAAACACAGATTCAGAGTTTGTGATCTAGAACACAGACTCTCAAGTCTGAGAGTTATGAGAAATGTAAAAGCATTTCTAGTTCCACTACTTACCTAATCCTCAAGTTTTTAGTAACCTTGAAAAGAGGTAAATCAGCTTCCGTAAGTACACCTCAGGCTAAGATCTTCCTATACATCCTGAGGTGGCTTGCAGTAGCTTGGAAAGTTGTAACAGTTACAATCAGATAAAATTTTCCCCGAAATGTTTATGTATTAATCATATCCTACCTCTTGCAGATGAAGACATTACAATATTTGAAGACAATGGTTAATTTCTATCCCATAAGTTTCTCTCCTCCAACATTTAAACATTATCCATATCAAAATTATCCTGGTTGGTTTCCTCTAAATGGGCTCTAATCTTCATTTTTACCCCTTAAATATGTGGCTTTGAGTATGTATGTATGGCCACAACAAAGAATAATTTGGAATCTTATAAATTTTTTTTTCCTTTCCTCTCTCAGTAACTAATATGTAAGGTTTCTAATGTGTAAAAACACCAAGAACAATTTAACTGCTCAAAAAGCACTTAACTAATATCTATCGCGTGTCCCCTCTAACCGGGAGTGACAGCACTAATGTTGTTCTCACCTTCTCTATGTCCAGGACTTTATCCTGCATCTCTTTTAGTGCACACTGAGACTCAGCTTCACTCAGACGGGCTTGGACCAATTCCTTCTCTAGCTGCAGCACAAAATCTTCATTGTAGTTGGAACCACATTTATGCTACAAGTTATAGACATATACTGAAATTTCACAGAAGAACATGTATATACAACAAAAATAAATGCAATTACACAATACAGTTATTGTTATTACAGTTACCACCAAATAGTAAAAGTTCCTCCTACCCAATATTTCTAGCATATCTCCTCCATTTAACTTTCCAATGAATAAAAAAGTTCAGGTTTGATATCTATAAAGATGATCACATTATTGGGTGCTAGTAACTAGTAGTTACATTAATCAAATTTAATTCATAGAAGATAAATATCTCCTTTTAGCTGTCCATCCATCCAGATACTAAGAATTTGCTCTGGCTCAACAGACCTGTATTGTACAACAGTGTAGCTATTAGCCACACGTGGCTACAGAGCACTTGAAATGTGGCTGGTCCAAACTGAGAAAGGTTGTAAGTGTAAAACACAAACTGGATTTTGAAGACTTAATATGAAATAAAAAGGTAAAATATCTCATTAATAATCTTTATATTGATTACATCTTGAAATAATAATACACTGAGTTAAATAAAAATATCATTAATTTCATCTGTAATTATTAATTACTCCTTTTAATATGGCATTTTAAAATGCATATGTGGCTCACATTATACTGCTATTGGACAGCACTGTTATAGAGTACAGAAGACAAGTACACATTGACTGAAAATTCTATTTTAATCTAACGGAAATAATAAGTCATGCACAATAACGGGAACCGTTCTAAATCCCAATAGAAAAATCTATTTGCTCTTAGAAACGTAGATCTCTTTCAAGATACGCATGAAAATGACTGCTGGAAGCAGAGAAAAAGCAGATGTTGCATGAAGAAATTAACCATGGAAGCATGAACCCTTTCCGTTTCCTTTCCTTCTCAATAATGTGAATACCAATGCAGCTATCGAAGAAATCTTTTTTTAAACCAGTTTCTATAAAAAGCTGTTCTAAAAAAGCAAAAGAGTATCTAATTCACCATTATAAAAGACTTCCTAAAATAAACTATCACTTCACATTTAATTCATGTAGTAAAGACAAAGTGACAACTCAAAATTTCAAAAGAGTCACAGAGAACAATCTCCTACTGAACCTGCATGAGTAAAGATTGGTTCCTTTTACTCTTCAATATATTAGGAACAAAACGGACGTTAAATTAAAACTCTATTAAAGAATTATTAAGTGTTTAATTAAAACATACAGTACTCTCTTGCCCCAGCTACCCAAAAAGATGTCATTTTTTAAAATGAACAGCTCACTTATTAAGCAAATGAGGACTTTTTAATTCAATGTATTACACATTAGTTCTCCTAGTAATTTTCTATTACTATTAAAGCAATATTTCAATACAATAAGTACATCTGCAACAGGCATATTACCTTAGCAAATACTTACCTTACCAAATAGAGAAAAGGCACTCTTTTGGAATGACCACATCCAAACTGCAGGTGCCATAATTTTTGTTTAATGAGATCATAGTTATTTTATGAGTAATACTAGAATTTTTTGCCCTTAATATAAAGCCATGACAACTGTAGTTCAGGCTGGTTTGCTAAGACTCTATTAGGAGATCCCCAGGAATAAATCAAACCCAAATGGCCCACATGAGAATGGAATCACTGATCTGATATAAACCAACTGATCCAACCAAGTGAAAAAAACTGTACTAATATTGGGAACAAATTTTTATCAATAAAATTTACAAAACCTCTAATTTTCCTCTATTGTTCAACGGATAAATTCTAAATTCCATAGTTTACACGTTATTTCTTCTCTCATACTTCCCATTTGTTCCTCACCCCACTGCAAACTAGCTCTAGTCCTCATCCCTTGATTAAACTGCTCTAATCACTAACAATATCAATACCCAATAACAACACAAAACTCAATGGAAAGCCCTTTCATTCAGCTCTTACCTTCACTAGACAGTCTATGGAATTTACCACAACTGACCACTCTTAATTAAAAATTTCTCCTCCCTTAGATTTTGAGGTGTTACTCTTCCATGGTTCTCCTATCTTCTCTGTCTCCTCTGACAATTCTACTACTTCAAATAGGTATCTATGTCTGTGTGTCTGTGTGTGTGTATATCAATCATAGTCCCCAGGGTTTCAATATTGTGCATTTTCTCTCAATCTTTTCATTAATTACCTTATTTTGCAGATTCATCCTATGTGATTTCATCCATTGTTTATATAGTCTGTATATATAGGCAGCATCAGATACTGTCTATATCAATCAGATATTGTCTCTATAGACAGTGGATGAAATCACCGAGAAAGAATCTATAAAATAGTAAAAAGGAGAAGGTGGAGGGAAAGAGGGAGGGACAGAGCACATACAATGATGGAATTCTAGGGATGACAGATAGTTGGATATACACACAGACAGAGAGCGATGACTCTAAAGTCCATATTTCCAGCCCAGATCTTTCTATTAAGTTACAGATCCATATTCACAACTTCCTACTGGTCTTCTCCATCTGGTTGGCCACATATTCACCTCACACTCAACATTTCAAAACTGAACTCATCTTTTCCTCTTGATATATTTACTATTCTGCTAAGGATGCCATCATCTAACAACTAACCAATTCATAACTTCCCCTCTTCTATTCAACCCCTACTATTCAATCACAAAATATTAGTAATTTTTCTTCCAGATGTTTCTTGAATTTGTCTGTTCCTCTCCATCTTCACTATCATCGTTTTTATTCATGACTTCATCTTTCTTTGAACTATTGTAGTGGTCTTACATATACCCCTCCTAACTGTTGTAGCACTTACAGTGGGTATTATTTAATATTTTATGTTACCTCTCACATTAAGTTGTAATAAATAGAAGGCATTTTTACAATTCTACCACCTGGACCAGGTAGTTGTTTTTCTGTTTTGTTGTTGTTGTTGTTGAGGAAGATTTGCCCTGAGCTAATATCCGTTGCCAATCTTCCTCTTTTTCCCTTGAGGAAGATTCCCACTGAGCAAACATCTGTGCCAATCTTCCTCTATTTTGTATATGAGTTGCTGCCACAGCATGGCTGACGAGAGGTGTAGGTCAGCACCTGGGATCCAAACCCATGAACCCGGGCCGCTGGAGCAGAGTGCGCTAAATTTAAGCACTACACCAAGGGGCCAGCCTCCAGGTGGGTGTTTTTTGACCCTATTGTTCTGAGCCTGAGGAAGTTTTGATTCCATATTTATTAACACAAACATGTTAATGAAAATCATACAAGCATTGATACACTTCAATATAGTATTCAGAATGAATCTAACTCCACTAAGCCAATTTTACCCCATTATCAATTTTTCTATACAGCAATCAGCCCTGTCCAATTATATTCATATGCATTTTTATTGGACAAAGTATTTCCATTGGGATCAATTCTTAATATTGATATGAGCTCACTAAACAGAGATTCTACATACCGTGTTGCAGCTCAGGGAGTTAGAAAAGGCTCTAGCATTTGGTTGGCTGGTTGAAACATGGACCAAAAGGTAGCCCCACAGTGACTGAACTGGAAATGCTGGACATGCCTTGGTTTAATGTAGAAGGGAAAATTGATGACAAAGAAATTTGGGGAAGATATATGTACACAGACCGCTCTGAATGGGCTAAAAATATGAAGACATTTGATTCCCATGTGAATGCTCATCAAAGGGTGAATCGAGAGGAGGATTTAAAAAATCAATTGGATGACCCATTCTGTGGACACCAGTCAGCCTCTTTCCCCAGACACCTGTCACAGCCCAATAAGGCTTTATGAACAAAGTGGCCGTGGTGGCAGGGATGGAGGTTATGCACTGGGCTCAGCAACAAGGACTTCCACTCACCAAGGTTATGACCACTGCTGAGTGTCCAGTCCGACGGCAGCAGATACATACCAACACCAAGCCCCTGATATAACACCATTTCCTGGGGTGATCAGCTACCTACCTGGTGGCAGGTTGATTACACTGGACCACTTCCATCATGGAATGGGCAGTGTTTTGTTCTTACTGGAAAAGCCACTTTCTCTGGATACAAATTTGCCTTCCCTGCACACAATGCTTCTGTCAAAACTATCATCTATGGACCTAAAGAATGCTTTATCCACCATCATGGTATTCCACACAGCATTGTTTCTGATCAGGAAATTCACCTCAGCAAAAAAAAAGTGCAACAATGGGCCTGCACTCACAGAATTCACTAGTCTTAGAATGTTCCCTAACATCCTGAAGCAGGCTGGCTTGACAGAATGGTAGAATGACCTTTTGAAGACTCATTTACAGTGCCAGCTAGGTGGCAATATCTTGCAGGGCTGGGGCGAGGTTCTCTAGAAGGATAAATATGCTCTGAATCAGCGTCCAATATATGGTGCTGTTTCTCCCATAATAAGGACTCCCAGACCCAGGAATCGAGGGATGGAAACGGGAGCGACACCACTCACTATTATCCCCAGCGACTTATCAGCAAAATGTTTGCTTTGCGACTTCATGCTCTGCTGGTCTAGGAGTCTTAGTTCCAGAGGGAGGAATGCTTCCACCAGGAGACACAACAATGATTCCACTAAACTGGAAAACTGACCTTGCCACTATGGGATCCTCACACCTCTGAATCAATAGGCAAAGAAGGGAGTTATGGTGCTGGCTAGGGTGACTGATCCTGACTACCAGGGGGAAACTTGACTACTACTCCACAGTGGAGATTAGGAAGAATATGTCTGGAATATAGGCGATCCTTTAAATTGTCTCTTAGTATTATCATGACCTGTGATTAAGGTCAATGAAAAATTACAACCAATCCAGGAAGGATTACTAATGACCCAGACCCTTCAGGAATGAAGGTTTGGGTCATCCCACCAGGTAAAGAACCATGACCAGCTAAGGTGCTTACCGAAGACAAAGGGAATACAGAGTGGGTAGCAGAAGAAGGTAGTTATTAATACTAACTATGAGCAGCTGACCTGTTACAGAAACAAGGACTGTAATTGTCATGAGTATTTCCTCCTAATTTTCCTATGAAATATTCGTGTAT